CACCTGCCATCTTTCCAGATGGTTCTGACACTTGTACACCTCTATACAAGATGGGGCATCTGTAGTGATACCGTCTCGGAAACCCAAGGAGGGGTCGCTATGAGTCAGGTCCAACTCTACGGCACATAACAACAACAACACAACATACACTCCTCACGTTCCAGCTCTGGCCACTGCAGTCGAGTAAACACGTACCCAGGGAGCAAGGTGGGTAGGCCTGATATTTGTCTTCTCATTTTATAAAAGGGGCCCAAGGAGACGGACAACTGGATTACAGTCACACCACAAAGGAGTGGCTGAGCTAAAATTAGACCCCATGCTTCCTGGTGGCCCAGATGGAAACTGGAGGAGGTGGGAGTACGGCCACAGGGGGTGGGGTGGAACTTCTGAATCCAAGGCTTTCCCGGAGGCATTACTGTTTCCGCTCCCCGGAGTCTCAGTGTCTCCCCCTGTAAAATGGGAGTGAGGAGCTTAAACCTTTGAACTTGTTTACTTCAAATTCCCCCCTTTCATTTATTTCCTGGTTTGCTTCTGGATAGTTTGGGAACAGCTAGGACACCAACTCCATCCCTTCCCTCAGGGGCAGCGTAAGTCCCAAGGAAAGAACACATCTTGAAACAGGGCTGCAGACTTTCTGGGCCAGGAGTCTTTGGAAGGTGCCAAGTGCACCTGAATCTGTAACTCCAGGCCTTCAGGGAACCAGCAGGCCAGAACAGGGGACCAACGCAAAGCCACGTAGGGAGGACTCAGCCCCACACTCTTCTGGCTCTGCCACTGACCAGCCAGGGGCCTTGGTCTGCTGCTTCCCCTGAGTGCCTCAGTCTCTCCTCTGCCCAGTGAGGTGACCTTTCAGGACCTCTAGGTCTAAACATATGAAGTGGCTTTCACACCTTTCTCTCCCTCCAAGGCACAGAAGGGAAGAGACATTTTTCAACACATTAGGCAAAATGTTGCACAGGAGTTGGCTTCCGCAGAGGAAGGGCTCTGCATGAGGGAAGAACAGCCCTCCCAGTGTCCCAGTGGTGCGGGGCCACACTGCAGCCTCAGGCCCCAGCGCAGACAGATCTAGGGAAGTGTTCAGGCCAGGGCTGGAGGACACCCAGCAGGAGTGATGGCCAGGAGACTAGGAAAGGCGGGGCCTTTGTGGTTCTCTCTGGTTCACAGGTTCTAGAGCTCAGGGATGCCTCTCCCGATGCTCTCCCCCAGCAGTGAAGAAGCCTCCTGGCCTCCTTCCATCTGCAGGCAAGAAGTCAGGAGCCTGGGGGCACCTAGGGAATGGGGCAGAGATGGTGCCACATCCTGGTTTAGAACACAGGCTTTGAAACTAGGTTTAGACCCTAATTCTGCCACTTACAGAGCAAGCAGCTAAGCTTCCTGGCACCTCAGTTTTCTCCCCTCTAAAATGGGGTTGTTGAGCATCACCGGACGAGAAAATGGAGTGTCCAGTGCTGAGCATGCAGTGGCAGCTGCTGTTACAGCTCTGTAACCAGGCTGTATCCTTTGTAAAGGTTATCAACTGGGTTGTCTTTGCAAACACCAGTCAGGGGCCCAGGTGGGCTAGAAGGAGGGAGGCGGGCAAGGGCAGGGCTCTGGTTGGAGTCTCCAAGGGTTTCTGGGGGACTTGAAGCTGGGTGTGGCCTTGAGAGGTCTCTGGACAGCAATGCCTGTGTTAGCTCATGTGTGCGATGCTCTTTGGTACAATCTAGAGTGCCTGGGAGTGAATGCGGGTGGACATGTCACTCACCACCTGTACCAATGCCACTCCACATACATGCTGGGTCATTTGCAAACCTTCGATTTGGCTCCACTCTCTCATTTTACAGATTTTAGAGAGATGGAAAGACCGAGATCCACATGTGGAGAGCACCCCGTCTCCTTCCTGCCCATCCATGGTGGTCCTTCCATTGGGCAATGCTCCCCAGGGACCACCCACCCATCAGAACGACCTACCTACTGCATCCGGCTCTGGCTCAGTGCCCAGGTAGCGCCCTTGGGACCGTGAATCCACCAGCTGGAACCTCTTAGATTTGAGGTTCTCCAGCACCTGCTCGTAGGTCTTGAGCAGGGAACGGTCCAGTTTGGCTTTGAAGATGGCCGGCTCTGGGCGTGAAGGCTCCGATGTTACTGGGTGGCCCTCCTTCAGCCAGTTCCGGAAGCCACCATTGAGCACGGACACGGTGCGATGGCCAAACACACGGAACATCCACCAGGCCCTGGGCGCATAGAAGGAGCCCAGGTGGTCACCATCATACACCACCACGTGTGTACTGTTGCTGATGCCCAGGCCGCCCACATAGTCGGCGAAGCGCGCCTCACCGGGCAGCATCATTTCGTAGGGTGAAGACGTGTCCTGGCACTCTTCGATATCAAAGAAGGAGGCCCCAGGCACGTGGCGCTCCAGATACTCCCTGCGAGCCTCACGGGTGCCC